CTCAGCTCGACTTGAAATGCCACAAGGGAAGATATCGTAGACTTTAAAGGGGGTTTATTTGTTTATTTGTAATTAAGCACAAAGCTACACAATGGGGTATCTGTGTTCTGCCCACCACTGGTATAGAAACCCGGATTCTAGCGTTGCAAGTCCGCAGACATACCGCTGTGCCACTGGGGGGCTTTTAAACGGGGAATGGGTATTAAACGACGCATTGATGGTACGCATGTTCGAAATACTTTATTGCCAATGTACATACGTAAATGTCTTTGTTTGTTTGAAGTTATGCACAAAGCTACACAATGGGCTATCTGTGCTCTGCCCACCACGGGTATCGAATCACGGATTCTAGCGTTGCAAGTCCGCAAACATATCGCTGTGCCACTGGGGGGCACATACGTAAATACGTTGCTGATAAATGGTTAAAAAAAACTGAAAAATCACAAGAATATCAACGCAATTAAATATTAAATTAAATATTCCTAGATCCACGAGAACGTTGAAACGTATTGCGGATTAAAACCGCCTATTTAGCACTTAATCAATTGCTCTAACCAGCATATCATTTGTGCACAGTGGGCTACTAGATTTTGTGGATTGACTACAGCCCATAAGCCGCTAGTCATAACGAAGACAAAATCTCAGTTCTCTTTAGCGTCAAAATTGAAGTATTGAAGTGAAGAGCAACGGAAGTCCGTTTTATGGAGCAACGAATATTGCTATTTACTGTCGACTTCAAATAAACAGCTGGAAACTACTTTGAATATGATGGTATGATATCAACCATTGTAAAAACAGTATGGAAGTATGGGCTATTTTATCCTGGTTTGGAGTTGGTTCATGAAAAACGTCATAAATTAATTGTTGCATCGTGGCATTCTGGATGGTGCTACACTGCCTACATCGATGGAAGACCTGTACGTCTTTCAGATGATAACACCGTGCCGTACTACACGCCTTCTTCTGAAGCCAAATAATATTCAGATTCTACCTTGTCCAGCCAAGATACTTCTACCCGAATCAAAATGCAATGTGTTGTGTCGTTTTGGAACTCCGCCTGAGGGACAAGAAATGCTATTCCCTGAAATATCGCTAAACTTGGAGCTGTACCGGAAGTTATTTCCTGAAATATCGCTAAACTTGGAGCTGAACCGGAAGTTGTTTCCTGAAATATCGCTAAAGTTGGAGCTGCATTGGTAGTTATTCCCTGAAATATTGCTAAACTTGGAGCTGAACCGGAAGTTATTTTCTGAAATATCGCTAAACTTGTAGCTGCACTGGAAAAAAGAGAGGCGATCTATTCCATTAGGCGTGCACCAACGATCAATTGCAAGGGTTAGTAACTGAGTCTCGACTGTGATTAACACCATAGTAAAACCAGGCATCTTCATTCTTGAGATATGCTGTCTCCATGCGTCTGCAAAATTGGTCTTATACATATTGAAACATTTATAATAATTTTAAATACGAAATTAGTTAGTAGCATTAAGGTTCATAATACTTAAGATTACGGATAAAAATGATCTTCATTTAAAATAATTGTGCTTATCACATTACTCGGAGGAAAGCAGAGTTTAATAGCATTTTAGATTTATCTTCCTTTGTCAGTATAATACTTTACTCAAAACATTTTTCGTCTAATAGCAGAAACTGTTAGATGGACTAGACCTTTACTCATCACGTGCCAAAAGTTTGTCTGAAATGTTCCTCACTATTTTGATTTGAAGCTTGTAATGGACACGGCTTAAGAAAAGTGTTAAAAACACCTTGTTGTTGGGGAATAAATATGTTAAAATAGTTTAAATTACAAAACAATTCTGTAAAGCACGTGTGGTTTGCAAGTTGGATATTTACTGTATTTGCAAGTTGGATATTTTGGATATTTGCTGTTGTAATTCTTAAAACGTCTTACAAGAATGAATCAAGTTAGCTCTTTAGACCAGATCTATTGGATTCACCAAGCAATAACAAAATTAATCATTCCATATATATATATATAGTTATTTTCATCGTTGTTGACTCTATTACTTTTTCTTACATGTGCTATCCAAATATCCATAAGTTCATCACTTTGTAGTTGTTCTCTTATTTTCAGTAAACTTCAACTTTGGAAAGGACGTAGGATTGAAGGATATCAGTATTTCTTTTGAAATAAGGTTATGTTATTTTCTATGGATACACAATGATTTTAATATCATATCTTGACTGTCAGTACAAATTAGTGGATTTATAATTAGACAAAAGCTTACTCAGCTAAGTAAGAAAAAATATATATATTTTTACCAATTTACACTAATTTCATTCTAAATTTTTGAAGATATTTAAAAAAAAACAAGAAGAAAGTGAGAAGACGTCTTTCATTTAGATGCACCAAGTTTTCAATGAGGGGAATATGGTTTTGGTGTTATCTGTGTTTCTGGTGTAATATTAGTTTTCTTCATAACCCTTTCAGGAAGTTGTTACTGCCGACCACCAGGGTTTTATTGACATTGATTGATTAGTTAATATGACTGTTTCATTTCAAAACGTGTGCTAAACTCGACAAGTATGTAGTTATTGATGACATTTCGTTATGATGAAATTTATAAAATAATATACTTCCTTACTTTGGTATTGTTAATAAATGTAAAATGATTTTCTAAATTAAGTTTTGAAATAACTGATTTAACACAAATATGGTGATATGTGTCAGTGTTTACAATAAAAAAAGAGTCAAATAAGCAGAACAGGTTTGAATTTTAAGAGTTTTTAGTCATAGTAGTTTGTATTGCATTTGAACTATTTGTGGGTTGTTTCTGTCCGACATGTACACAAATAACTTATTTTGGCCTCTTTGTTAGAGTTACAGCCCATAAAAAATTTATGCATGGTAGTATTCTAGGAAGAATCATTGTTCCTTCAATAAGCCTTAGTAATCTGCCTTCTTGGATTCAGTCACTGATCGTGCATAAACTAGAAGACAGATCAGATAGAAAATAAACAGTAATTTTATTTGCAGTGCTTCCCTCCACGTAGTAAAATTACTAAATTTCTCTTCTACGCTTCAGGCTGAAATCCTAAAGACAAATTATGTATAGACGCAGGGCCTACATAATTTCTTGTAGAAAAGGACTACAGTACAGAAGAACAAGACTAAGTTATCTCGTACCAACAAACGTTTATGATAAGTAAGTTAAACTTAACATGACAAGGTATATAAATAGCATAGTGATTAAAATTTAGAAAAAATTATAAAGTTAAAGTCCACCCCCCTAAAAAAACACTGATAGGGATTGTTTGTTTGTAATTAAGCCCAAAACTAAACAATGGGCCATCTGTGCTCTGCCCACCACGACTATCGAAACCCGGATTTTAGCGTTGTAAGTCCGCAGACATGCCACTGTGGGCTTGATAGGGAAAGTGAAGAAAAATATGTTCACTAACAAATACTAACGATTCTTAGATTAAAAGTAAGTATAATAAGAAATAATAATAATATAATTAAAATTGTTCACGAAGCAGCACGTAACGTGAGCTGCACGTTCCCCGAGTGATTTTCAACTTATAATGGCGCAGATAGCAGTTAGACACCGTTCATAGGGCAACAAAACAATAAAATTTAATTATAAATAGATGTATAACGTTACGAACCTAGAGCTACTTAGGATAAACAAATTTAGTTTCAGGTTACAATCTGAAATCATACTAGAAAGAAAAGAAGGATAATTTAGGTTTATTTCGATTTTTTTGGTGGTTACGAGGTCGGTCGAATTGACCGATCCAGTTTTGAGATTAGGGTAGAGAAAATAACATAAACTATAAGGATTTAGTGAAAAAAAAACGTTTGAAATGCATTTAGGAGGTTTTAGGGATTATAAAAAGGAAATTTGAGGTTTTTGAGATGAATGAAAAGTATTTTTAATTTTAACATGAAATTTACTTTGCACACGGACTATTCAAAACAAATACTCAATATATTCATGGATAAAACTTTATTTTATTTTATTAGAAATACTTCACTAAGAAATATGACTTTTTGTATGTCAAAGACTTGTAATATTAACTGAAAGACTGCCAAATTTCGTGAATATATACCCAATATATAGAGAGTTATAAGTATTAAATTTATGCCAACTTTAAACGACTACAGAAGGTCACGTGACTCTTTCAAATTGACCGACCCCATGTCGGAAGAATTTATGTCTATTATGCAATAGACATGACCAACACATTTTTTCTCAAACCACCCCTTCTACCCTTATGTAATAGTGATAGACAAGAACATATGTAGCCAATATATTACTTTAGTGTTAATAATGATTCTCTAAGAATAAATGTTTTTTAGTCTTTGATCGTTCAGAACTTTCAGAATAGTTTATCTGGTTCTTAAGATGTTAGAATGCAAATAGTTATTGACAATATAATTTGCTATTTTGAGTAAATCATGTCCATAGCTCGTTTTCGTTCTTGCAACTGCTATGAGGCTTACATGAGCGATTACTTGCGTGATAGAATAAGCTATCTGCTAAGTTTATATATTTTATCTTTGTTTTATTATTGCTATTAAGATTGAATGTTTACAAATCAATGACAAATGATATATATATATACTCAGTATATTTTGAAATATTTTTTTAGTTACTTCCCGAGCGCGAAGTAGTTATGACATCAGTCCTCTCCTGTTGTTCGTATCCCTCTTCTGGCAGATGTTACAATTAAGGAAGGTGTGCGTCCTCTTGCTACCGTCACAGTGACGTCACAGGAGTAATATTGATTCCTAAGAAACATATGAAGGTGTGCACCTGCGGACATATTGTACGAGTACTTTGATTACCAGAAAAAATCCACTATTTGTCAGAATTATACGTAAAGTGAAGTCTTAGTTGATTTTTTCTCTCTCAGTGTGTGTATGGCTCATGTCATCATGTCTAACTGTTGGTGCCAGGTGTTTTTCTGAAAATCGAAACCATCACCTTGATCAAAACGTAAGTGTTGAAAATAAGACGTTGTTTCAGCTGTTGATGGCCTTTAGGTAGTTAATCTATGGTCCAGACTTTAAATTTTAAAGCTGAAACTTAAATAAAGTTCGACCTAATTTTAGTAACTGTTGAATGGATGAATGAATGATGTTACATGGTTCTTGCTACTCACGAATATATGTAAAATAATACATTCGTTACTTTGCTGTAAATTTAGAAAATGTCTTTATTCAACATTAAATTACTATGAACCCCTGACGTATTTTTTTCTTTCTTGCTATTTATCATTGACATACAGTACTTTCGTTACATAAATGCTTCATAGTTAGATGAAAACTATACCAAACTCAAGCTTATACCAGGAGCACGTGGTATAAACAGTCAATCGATTTTGAAGCAAGATTTCGCAAACATCGATCCAGTAATCATGCATGTTTTCTTTTATAGTCTACCTTTCCAGTTACTCACAACTCATTTCAAAAACACCTTTCATGATTTGCTCTGTACTCTGCAGTGTTACACGTATAAGATAATTCTAGATCTTTAAAAGTAATTACAATTTTCTTACCCCAGCCGGAAAAGCGCTGATTGCATAGCTTGATTTTCAACCTTTAACCATTTATGCACATTTAGTAAATATTTGCTCTTATCCCACTTGCTGTTTCAACTGCACGATAATAAAGTTTTTGTAGCAATTTTGTTTCATTAAATTGTAATGGATAAATGGAACAGTATAAAACCTTACACAAATATTAGATTAAGTTTCTCTCATCTTTTGTTTTTAGTTAATAGTAGCTCAAGTTACATAATTAATATTTTTCAATAATGATACTAATAGTAGATAATTTAAAAAAAATAAATTAATAATGACTTTGTTTAAAAATCTGAATGGCACGTTTAACACTAACATAGGGTATTAACACTTTTTAGTGTAGGATAGTATACACAAAAACTAATAGCATCTTCGCAAATAGAAAATAATATGCCTGTCCTTCAGAATGTGATAGTGAAACAATGGACTTTTTTCAATTTCGATTGAAAGACAGTCATTAAAGCAACTTTCAAATTTGCACTATATATTTTTCATACTTATATTTCATTTGGCTCTATATATTTCTATTGGCCAAGTGATTAGATCGCTCGACTGGCAATCTGTGGGTCGCGGGTTCGAATCCCCGTCCCACCAAATATGCTCGCCCTTTCAGCCGTGGGGGGCGTTGTAATGTGACGGTCAATCCCACTATTCGTTGATAAAAAGAGTAGGCCAAGAGTTGGCGGTGGGTGGTGATGGTTAGCTGCCTTCCCTCTAGTCTTACACTGCTAAATTAGGGACGGCTAGCGCAGATGGCCCTAGTGTAGCTTTGCGCGAAATTCAAAACAAACAAACAGGTGTACCTTACCCTGAAAAGCACAAAGAAAAATGTGATTTAACAATTCGACCTTTCGTGCCAGTGCCAGGTTAAAACATTAGGTACAATCAAGTTGTCTTAAGTTAATTTACTTTATGTATTAAATCACATATTCATTTAACAGCTGGTGGTTATTATTAGTGATGTTTGGTCAAAAGTAAGATATAGATCAGACGGAAGAATTAACTCGTGATTTAATCAAATCATTTCTGCATAACAAACTGAGAAAAATTACATGGTGACATAAAACAGCACATAAAAAAACCAAAACCTATAATGATTAGGTTGCATTGAAACCTCACTTGAGTACTCTTCTTGTGTTAAGCCCAGCGGTGGCTCGGTTGAAAATCTGGAGTCTTATAGCGCTAAAAAGTCGGATTTTTATACTTGCGATAGACACAACGCAGAGAGACCATTGTATGGGTTTATGCTTAATAACACACACAAACATACGCATAAACCTTGTTTTAGATATATTTCCCGTCGTTATCCCAATAATATGTCAACTATATTAAGCGAACAATGTAAAGTGATCTTCAACAGTGTTAAAAATTAATAAGAATGTTATAAGTTACTTAGTAGGTTATAACCAACAGCATTAATGAAACTAACTTTAAAGAAAATGGCCTATGTTATCAAACTCGCCTTCTAAAATTGTTTATGTGTATTCACATTTCTTT